AAATGAATAAGCCTCAGGCTGAAGGGAAAGTAAATTTACATCCGTACAGTAGAATGCAGAAGAAGACATTTCAACACACTTCAGCAATAAAAAAAGACACACAAATGTTTGTCTAGAGTAATTTGTGCTTATTAGTACGGTTGAACTGGATCATCAAATGTCAGAAGCAAAGACATTGGTTAATAGAATAGGATTAAATACATAAAGCATATTTGCGTTGTTTAACATTTAATTATTGCATGTTTGCGTCATATTCTGAGTTGCATTATTTTTATTCATTTTGAAGAATACTGAATCTGTGGGGGTTTTTTTTGTGAGTGAGTGAGATGAATTAATGCATATTCATATTTATTTTAGAACTACAGTAACATCTTCTGATTTCTCTCAGCATGGGGACAGGAGAGCTGTCAGTCAATAAATTGGGAAAAAAAAGTAACTTGTGTTACTTATTTGAAAAAGTAACTCAGATATGCGTTACTTTACTAGTTACTTGAAAAAAGTAATCTGATTACATAACTAGTGTTACTTGTAATGCGTTACCCCCAACACTGTCGGTAACTCATCTGTTTTGTTGTTCTGGAATAATTCGGCATGTATTAATATGATTGTCAACTGAAAGATCTTGTTTATATATTGTTTATCTCATCATATTTTGTCTATCAGGCAACACAACGGGTGATCGGTAAGGGTGCTTTCTCTCTCTTCTTTGCTGCAAATGTATTTAATAGACAAAGATAAAGTGTACAACAGTAACAGCTGTGACTGACTGCATTAGCACTGATTTTGCAGAATATAATGTCGATGGCGGTAAAGAGGATCTGTTTGATATCAATGAAGGTGAGAGGTCATTACACCGGCTCCACACGCGTCTGGTGTGGTTTGTCTGAATTATCATGGCATTTCTGTCCTCTTCATGCTTTCAGAGGCTGCTCTTGATCTTTTTGAGGGAGATATTGTATATGATGAGGTAAGAGATGATATTTTGTTGATACCAATCAAATCCGTCTTTTGGTTTGTGTTCATAGAGCATAACTGCTGTACGTGACAGAATTTAACAACGTCCTGTTTCTGTCACAGAATCTGGGGAGAAATTCTATAATTGGTGATGAATACAGATGGCCAAAAGTGATTCCTTATTACCTTGAGGATGATTTGGGTGAGTATCTTCAGTCAGAAACTATATATACTGTATATATATAGTATTAAAATAAAACAGTATTGGATTATTGTTTAATAATTTGATTTTACTGTAAAATATTTTAACATGTAATTTGACATTTTTTTTTGTCATTTTAGACCTTGTGCCTTTAGTCAAATGCTATGCTAGACTAATTAACCCCTAACATACCAAATTCTCTATGGACAGATATTAATGCCAAAGGCGTGATCCTGAAGGCCTTTGAACAGTATCGACTGAAGTCATGCATCGACTACAAACCCTGGAGTGGAGAAGAAAACTACATCTCTGTATTTAAAGGCAACGGGTGAGCTGCTACATATGTGCTTATACTATTGGCTTTGGCACTAAAATGATTTTGCTGCACAGTGATTTGTTGGTGATTTAATTCATGGTCATAAGTGTGACAACTGTCAAAGAATCCACCCTCTCTCTATATATATTTGTGTGTGTGAATAGCTGCTTCTCATCAGTGGGGAACCGGCGTGTTGGCAAACAGCGGCTGTCCATCGGCAGTGGATGTGATCGTATCGCAACCATCGAGCATGAGTTTCTCCACGCGTTAGGCTTCTGGCACGAGCAGTCGCGCTCCGACCGGGACGACTACGTCTCCATCATCTGGGACCGCATTACTGAAGGTGCTTTACATGAACAAAGACCTGAGAAACTGCAGATCGATCTATCTACTTTATAAACATTGGGAAGTAATGCTATTTATTATTAATTAGAATTCCCGCAAGGATTTATGATCAAAACATTGTTTCATTATCCAAAAATGAACATTTGCTGAAAATGTGCTCACCCTCAGGCCGTCCAAGATTAGGATGAGTTTGTTTCTTCATCAAATCTGGAGAAATGTAGCATTGCATCAGTGTCTCAGCAATGGATGCTCTGCAGTGAATGGGTGCCGTCAGAACGAGAGCTGATTAAAACATCACAATAATCCACAGCACTCCAGTCCATCAGTTAACATCTGGAGAAGACAAAAGCTGAAACAAATCCAGCATTATATAAAAAATACACATTCTTCGGAAAAATGATTCGCAAAGCTTCATTTTACTGATTTATGTATCATAAAACCAAAAGTAATGGTGTGCTTTGTAAAGAAGACACTCTAAGCTTTCAAATGATACCATATATGGGCTGATACCATATAAGGAAGGCTTTGCAAATGAAGCATAAACATTTTTTATGATTTTGGACCCATATCCGGGTCCGCAGAGTTTAAGTGACATGTTCACATTCATTTCACAGGCAAGGAGCATAACTTCAACAAATACAACGACAGCACATCCAGTGCCCTGAACGTTCCCTACGACTACGGATCCATGATGCATTACAGCAAGAAAGCCTTTCAGAACGGCTCCGAGCCCACCATCGTCACCAGGATCCCGGCCTTCAGCGATGTGATCGGCCAGCGCATGGAGTTCAGCGACAGCGACCTGCTCAAACTCAACCGACTCTACAAATGCTGTGATGCTTTTACACGTGATCTAAAACGATCCAAAACACTTTACTAAATAAAATGTGGTTTAGTTTGTCACAGTCCTGGACTTGATGTTCCTCTTGCTTAGGGCTGGGTATTAATACAGATTTAGCAATTTGATTGGATTCTAATTTAGTGAGAGGGACTTTCTTAATGATAACGAGTCAACAGTGGTCAAGTGTAATGACTATATCATACAGAAGAGCATGTGTGAATGTTTAAAGTGTGGTTATTTCACAGCCAGCTCCTCCACATTTCTGGACTCCTGTGACTTTGAGTCGGAGAACATCTGTGGAATGATCCAAAGCCGTGAAAATGAAGATAATGCAAATTGGCAGCGTGTTTCCAGAGCCGCAGGTGGACCAGACACAGACTACACCAACATGGGACGCTGTGACGGCAAGTCTTCTGCAGTTTGAATATTTATAAAGTTCAATCAGTTCTTTAAAATTGAAATGCTTCACCCAAAAATGAAGCGATGCCTTGAAAGTGGACAAAACCGGCTTTTTTGACAAAACGTGTTTAGGGTTCAGATCGCTCTATATGTGGAGAATAATGCACGGCAATCAGCTCTTTTTTTTTTAAAAGTGGCGTGTATCGGTTTTTGCGAATGAACTCTTCATATACTTATTTGATGTTGTTATGGTGTTTTTTGGTCCTCTCTGGAGCTCAGCAGCATTTGTCATTCACTTCAGCCGAATGAAAATTTGCACTTCACTCCAGAGTTTCTATAGCTTCTCCTGTTGTGTTGTCCTGTATGACAATCTAAATGACTTTCATTTCAACTGTCCCTTTAAAATAATAATCTGGGGTAAAGATTTACAATGTGAATATGACCTCTCTAGTCTAAACAGGGTGCTGATTTAAAACACAGATAGATCACTGAAAGACGACAGAAATCTCTGAAATGATTTTTCAGTTTACAAGTCAAATGGAACACCAGCCAATATATATATATATGACTGCAATACAGTTTACTAGAACCAGTGCTGTTATTACTGGATGTGAGTGAGTTGTTAAATTGATTCCAGCCCAATCCAGCTGTTCAGGCCATTCAGCCTGATTTTCAATCTGGTTGTCAAAATAGTGGACCGGCATTATCACATTAACAGGGTAATTAGCCAATTCTGCCTCCTGTCATGTGACTTTGTGCATTTCGTGGGTGTAACAGGTTTGTTTTGTTTATTTATAGAACACATTTAAAAACAACCATAGGTTTACCAAAGTGCTGTAGAGAAGGTTAAGACAAATAAAACAAATAATCAAAAATGTGAAGGTTTACGAAAACAAAAAAACAATGTAATAATACTATTAGAAATAGCTTTTAAGCCACCATAATTTGTTCAAATAGATAAGATTTAAGCATAGATTTAATAACAGACAGAGACGGCCACGAGAAGGTTGTTCCAGAGTGTTGGAGACGCTCCATGGACGAGCGATCGATCCCGTAATTGAGTGAATTGCAATAGTCTAAGCGAGAAGTGACAAATGGATGAATTACTTTTTTAAAGTTTCTCATTGATAAAAATGCTTTAACTTTGGCCAGGCAGCGAAGATGGAAAAAACACGACTTAATCACTTGTCAAACTTTAGGCCAGAATCAGACTGGAAACCTAAACTTTTTACACATGGGGTAACCCATTTGGTTAAATAACCCAGGTCATGATTACTGGCGTTAAAAGCATCACTAGGGTCCAAACACAATCCGGTGTTTTGTATGTTACATAAATAAAAACAATGTTTTTCAAATAGGGCGGTATAGTAAATATAGTATGTACAGTATCTATGTTATGTACTATATATATAGTAGTGAATGTTTCCTTGTGAAATGAAAACATTTTAGTATGAAAAGCCTTTATTAGGGGGACTAAATGTTTAAAACTCTACCATGTAATTGCCCAAACAGGCCTTCATCAGGGTGCAAAAAAGTGTTACTCAAATCAGATGACTTCAGTAACTGTACTTGAATGCTGTTGAAGCAGAAATCCTGTACTTGTTCAAACATCTGATGTGTTTTAGAGCCCTACAAAATCAAGACAAGGTTAAACACGTAATGACAAAATCTCTAAAACTAACCCTAACGCTAATTTATTTGAAAATAATTTGAAATCATCATTATGAGTGGGAAACTCAGGATTTTCTTTAAACCCAGAGTTTCCGAGTGAAGCACAGCATCTGTATTTACGGTAAATTTGTACATAATTTATGTTTTTTTTTTCATTTGCAAGTCGCATATACAAAACGCCACAGTATTGTACAATTACCACAGAATATGTAACACACCTTTATAAACTTAAAGCATAAATTGACAAAAAAAAAGCAGAAACACACCTGATGCACATTTTTTGTTCATTATTTGGTAGATTTTTGTAGATTGGAGAGTTAAAAAAATAGTAGAAAAGATACATTGCCATCTTGCTTCGACCAATAAGATCTGAATGCACCTGATGTCATAATTACGACTTCCCAACTTATAAATATGAACGTCTCTGGCGTACTCGAATGCACCAATTTACTTTTAATGTCTGGTCATCTACTTTGACTGCAAACACCTCTCATAATCACTCATTTCTGAAACGTGGAAGCCTTGCAGTGCTCACACACAGTCCAGCTCATTTCCGCTCTGTTAAACGCTGATGTCCGCCCTGTTTTCAGGAAAGGGTTACTTCATGCACTTCAGCACTGCGGGCGGGCCGGAGGGGAACAGGGCTCTGCTGGAGAGCAGGGTTCTTTATCCCAGACGGGGATTCCAGTGTCTGCAGATCTTCCTCTATAACAACGGCCACGCTAATGACCGGCTGAGGATCTGGACTCGAGAGTACGACACGGCAAACCCCGACGGGACCCTGCGGCTCATTCACGAGGTTAAAGGTACGGATGTTAATCTAGAGAGTGCTTGAGGGTCGAATCTCCATCACTGTTTGGATTAATGAATATTGGACTTTCTTTAAAAGGTGACTATTATAAGACAGCTTCCGTACATATATCAGATTTATAAAGCGGAGAGTTCCGGTGCTTGATTCTGATTGGCTGAGCCGCGTTCGAAGCTGTTGTAAATGACTCTACAAAGTAACATACACCTTTGTTTACGTTTGTCTGTTGCTCGGCAACCACTTTGTTGCAACCACAACTGATTCTGAGGAGCTACATTGTTTGGTGGAAGAATACTGTTTTTATTAATATCATTACACTTTATTTGCTCTGTTTTATTTTGTGAAACCTACATATATGGAATAACCGTTTTATAAAAGCAATAAGCCCCGTAAAGCCGTGGTTTACAGTGAATTTATAACAGCTAAGGGGGTTTTAGGCACTCCGCTTCGCGTCGCCCTTAGCTGTTATAAATTCACTGTAAACCATGGATACTTGGGGCTTATTGCTTTAATCAACGACTCTGTTTTTCTCTGAAAGCTCCTCTTGGTGACCAGTGGCAGCTCCATCACGTCAGCCTGAACGTCTCCAGAAAGTTCCGAGTGGTTTTTGAAGGAATCAAAGGGAGCGGGAACGCCGGGGGACTCTCACTGGACGACATCAACCTCTCAGAGACCAGCTGTCCTGAACACGTGTGGAGGATCGAGGACTTCAGGAGCGTCCTGGAGAACACGCCGATGGACGCCGCCATTTACAGCCCACGCTTCACGTCTAGAGACGGCTACAGCTTCCAGATGGGCCTGTATCCCAACGGAACAGCCGGATCCCCGGGAGAGCTGGGAGCGTATGCGCACCTGACATCCGGAGCCGGAGCGGTGGAGGACGGTGTGGTCTGGCCCGCGCGCTGGAAGCAGATGACCATGATGCTGATGGACCAGAACGCAGACATTCGCAGACGCATGAACAACCAGAGGAGCGTCACCACAGACCCCAGCATGACTGTGGAAGGTGAGGCTCGCGATCATCTCGTCCTGTTGGGTTTCTCAAAATGTTTACACTTTCTAAGAGGAATCCAGTGTTTCCTGTTAATTATGCAAGCTTTAATGGCTCCTACTGTTTCATAATGAACCAAAAATGGTTGTGTTTTGTGCCATTGCTTTGGCAAAGCATCTGGCAAAGCTGAAATTGTGATATGGCTTATCGAAGCGCGAATGATAGTCTCTCGCACTGCGTGTTTCAAAGTGAAGAGCAGCACTGTGTTCACGTGATCAGCTCGTGAGCCAGTGTTTTCAGCGTCTCAGTTATGCTTTATTTTCAAATTTGCATAATTTCAAACTTTTTGTGGATGGATTACAACGTTTAGCTGCAGTGTAAGAAAATAAATGTGTCAAATAACAGAAAAAGTAACCATTAATTTTACAGACATTTCCGTTAACTCTAAAACACAACACAACCAGTGTAACATTCAAAATACAGGTAAAACACCTGTAAAAAATAAATACAGAAAATTCATTCTGATGAATACAGTACATTGTGTCCTATTTTTACGGATTCTTTTAGAGTGTGGATGTGTAATGGGAAGCGTTTGTAAAGCTGTAGTCTCAGAAACTTAAAGATCCACCTGCAGTTTTCCACCAAAATAAAAGCTCGAGAGTTTAAGACTTGCAAGTGAAGAAAAATAAATTAAGACACTATTGTAATTTTACTTCTGGTTTAACTCTTGCAAGTTAAGAAATTAAAACAGGATTTTCAATTTACTACTGTAAAGTAAAATAATAAGAAATAATTATTTTACAGTTTATTTTGCATTGCAGTAGTAACATATTAATGTATTTAGATAATAATAATACATATATATATTAATGTTATTATTATTTTAAAATTGTTTGGCTTCCTGAAACACCGTTGTGAATGTAATGTGGAGTGAGACACTGTCACTAACTAAACTAAGAAGAGGTTTGAGTCCACTTTAAAATCCAGTACAGTTCAGTGCAGACATGTTACTAATTTCTGAGTCGGAGCTCTTCGTTTGGCTTCCAAAGTGCATCAGATTAACGCATTTCATTTTAAAATCTACAAACCTTTCTGAATGACCAAGATCCACCCCCAATTTAAGTAATAAAATAAAAAAAAATTGACAGTATAAAGCTATTATAATTGATTTATTTTTAACGTAAAAGCGGACACAGGCATTTGTAACCTGAATGTGTGAGTCTTCGTATTCACTTCCAGTTATTTTAGTGGTTCAAAAATAGTTGATATTTGTTATCATATGTGACCCTGGAGCACAAAACCAGTCATAAGGGTACATTTTTCAAAATTGAGATTTATACATAATCTGAAAGCTGAATAAATAAGCTTTCCATTGATGTGTGGTTTGTTAGGATAGAAAATCTGGAATCTGAGGGTGCAAAAAAATAAAAATATTGAGAATATCTTTAAAGTTGTCCAAATGAAGTTCTTAGCAATGCATATTACTAATCAAAAATTCAGTTTTGATATATTTACGGTAGGAAATTTACAAAATATCTTCATATAACATGATCTTTACTTAATATCCTAATGATTTTTGGCATAAAAGAAAAATGTATAATTTTGACCCATACAATGTATTGTTGGCTATCAGCGACTTAAGACTGCTTTTGTGCTCCAGGGTCACATTTTATTGTAATGCATTGTTGTATATATAAACACATTGGTTTGCAGCACAAATAGCTTCACCATTTAAGTTTAGAATTTACAGACCGTTCTAAATGACCAGAATCCTGTGGAATCACTGAACTTCGTTCGCGTTTCATCTTTAGGGACTGGAGATTTCTTCTGGGACGATCCGCGTAAAGTAGGTGTGAAGGTGACAGAAGGCGGTGGGACGGAGTATTTCCGTGGTCCTGGCGCTGGAACGCCGGTTTTCCTGACGCAGGCCAGAGCGCTGAGCCGAGACTTCCTCAAGAGCGGAGACGCAATCTTCCTCCTCACTATGGAGGGTGAGAAACACACTAACTGAGTTATTCACACTGACTTCTGGAAGTGAAAAGTCGCATTTCAATGAATGCATTTCTTCAGAGCAACACAATAGTAGATGCTAAGCAGAATGTTCACGCTGCTCTACTCCAATGAAAGCAGACCGTGTTCTGTTGTCCATCTGTTTATGTTCCTGTAGATATCTCTCATCTGGTAGTTTCACAGCCCTTGCCTTCCACAACCACAAATCCACCAAACTCAGCTTCCTCTGTAACACCAGACCCAGACAGCAGCAGCATGACCCCTGTGACCCCTGTGAACCCTGTGACCTCCAGCGCTGCGCCTCCTGACCCGTGTGTGTCCGTACGGTGTGAGAATGACGGTGTGTGTGTGCTGGACGACGCGGGACACGCCGTGTGCAGGTCACACATCACACACCAAATCAGCCACCGATTATTGTGCCATAGAGTTAAAAACACAGCTGCGACCAACTGCATTGTTCATTTTTTTCCATAGGGTTTTCCAAAAATTATTCACCATGAATCAAACCAACCAGCTTCTGTGAATTACAAAAAAATTAAATAAAGCAAAAAAAAAAAAAAGTTTAAATGAAATGAGATAAAAAGACATGAGTTAATGAGACGAACTACACGCCCCATGAAGCACTGCAACTGCAGACAATATTAAGCTAAAGTATTTCATTGCTATTATAAAGACTTTAATTTTAATGTATTTGATTGCAAGTATAAAAAAAGACAAACAAAATGAGAAACTATACAACTCAATTTACAATATAAAACAATTAGAATTTATTTATCTTTAATGTAAGACAGGGTTATTAAATTTAAGTAAAACCATAAAAAAGTGAACTGCTTGAAATAAAATAAACGTTAATTGAAATACAGTAAAATATTAAAAACGTTTTATTTCAGCTAGTTGTTCATTTCTCATTTTAATTTAGTTTTACAAAAATGAAGGTCTGAAAAGGTTTTGAATCAGAGCAGAAAGACTTAGACCTGGTTTCACAGACAGAGCTTAGGTTAAACCCGGATCATAGTTCAATTTTGGACATTTAAGTATCTTTTATAAACATGCCTTAGAAAAAATATTACTGGTGTGCATCTTGAGACAAAACAATGGCACTGATATATTTTAAGATCAATCAGTGCAAGTTTCTTTCAGTTAAAACAGCTCGTGCATTTTAGTCTGAGACTAGACTAAAGCCTTGCCTGTGAAACCAGGATAAATTCAGGACACAACAGGAATATTCTCATCAGTATTTCTGTCTTGTTTTCCAGTCCAACTATCTAAACGTTCTTAAATCAAGATACTTGTTTTCTGAGAAACTGATCAAAATGAAATGAGTTTATGACTAAACCAAGAACAAAAATCTGTCAACGGGGAATGAAAGCTTGTTTAAGTGTATTTTTCTGAGCCCTTTGGCAGATATTTGTTCTTGTTTAAATCATAAACTCACTTCATTTTGATCCATTTCTCAGAAAACAAGACTTCTTCTCTTCTGTCCTTGTGCTTCTCCAGTAAATGTGTCTTGATTCAAGAATCCTTTGAACTGGAAAACAAGACAGAAATACTGAGGAAGAGCAGCGCTTTATTACAGTGTGATCAGAAGCTGCAGTAAAATATATTTTTATATTCTAGTGTTTGTGAGTAGAGCCATTCAAACCTTGAGCGATTTAATTTTTTCTTTCTTTGTCTATTTTTCTTTTCTTTTATTTCCTTCTTTTAATAAATTCTAAAGTAATAGAGATCAGTTGCAATTTGCAAGACATTTACATTTAGAGACCATATTGATGTATTGTGTTACATTAAATTTGTTTGTTAAATTTTCTTCACTTGGCCTTAAAAAGTCTTAAATTTACCTTCAGAAACCCTGACAGAGTTCCTCGACTAGACATGTATGATCTGGATAAGTGAGCAGGAGTTTAGTGCTTGTCATGTTCAGTGTTCAGTCTTCAGTAACAGCTGAAGCGCGCGCGCGTGTGTGTGTGTGTGTGTGTGTGTGTGTGCAGGTGTGTGGTGGGACAGGACTGGTGGCATTACGGCGACAGGTGCCAGTTTAAGAGCTCTGCTCAGAGCAGCGTGCTGACGGCGGTGCTGGCGTCTGTGGCTGTGTTTGTGCTCATGCTGATGGTGACGGTGGTCAGTGTGATCTGTGTGAAGAAGCAGCAGAGGAAAGTGCAGCGTGAAGGAGAGGGAATCACCATGAATAACATGCACTCGTTCGCATGAAGATCTGAACTTTCCTCTAATGTACATTATGACTCATTAAAAACAAACAATGCTTTGATATGATTCTCTGATGTAATTCATTCAGTGGCCCCAAAAAGCATTTTGTTCATGTTTAAATGTCATTACATTAGACAACAAACATCTCAGTAATGAGGACACACACACACACACACACACACTCTCACACACACTCTCTCACTCACACACACACTCACTCTCTCACACACACTCTCTCACTCACACACACACATACACACACACACTCACTCTCTCACACACACACACACACATATACTATTTTCATTAAATCAACCACTGAAAAAACAACTATTAATCTGAATATGTGTATATACAGTATGGGTTATGGTGGAGAAAAGTGTCAGGTTTGTTGTGTGATAAAAGAGTACCAGCAAGAATGAAAGGAAAGGTGTACAGGACAGTAGTGAGACCAGCGATGTTGTATGGTTTGGAGACAGTTGCACTGAGGAAAAGACAGGAGGAAGAGTTAGAGGTAGCAGAGCTGAAGATGTTGAGGTTCTCTTTGGGAGTGACGAGGATGGATAGGATCAGGAATGAGTACATCAGAGGGACAGCACATGTGAGATGTTTTGGAGACAAAGTTAGAGAGGCCAGGTTGAGATGGTTTGGACATGTTCAGAGGAGGGAGAGTGAATATATCGGGAAAAGGATGCTGAGGTTAGAGCTGCCAGGCAGGAGGCCGAGAGGAAGACCAAAGAGGAGGTTTATGGATGTAGTGAAGGAAGACATGAAGGTAGTCGGTCTGAGAGAAGAGGATGCAGAAGGGGATAGGGCTAGATGGAGGCAGATGATTCGCTGTGGCGACCCCTGAAGGGAACAGCCGAAAGGAAAAGAAGAGTGAATTGCGAATCATGTAAAAAATGTAAATGAAATAAAAACAGTGCACATTTCATTTATCTATTATAACATTTATGCAGTTTTGTTCGCTGGGCTGTTTCTTTATAAAAGTCCAAAAATTTGTCAAGTTGTTCGTCAGGTGTCTTTTTTAATTATATGATGTCATTACGTTGCTGTCTTGCCGCAGCCAATCGCTGCACTGCTGATCGTGGTTTCGAGTATCGATACATAGAGTCGAGTCGCTCTCCCTCTTTACCGTCTAACTCATATTCTGACCACTCTGGCATTGTGACCACTTGAATAAACAGCTATACGTTCATCATGCTAAAAACCCCTCACTCGTGAATCCTCAGCCGACTCTGCAGTGTTCGTGTGTGTTTAGTAACATCATGATGGCTGATTGGATGCAGTACAAGCACACTTGGGTTTTGTTGGTTAATCAATTAGCCTGTACAGCAGGGGTCACCAGACTCGGTCCTGGAGGGCCGGTGTCCTGCAGAGTTTAGCTCCAACCTTAATTAAGCACACCTGAAGCAGCTAATCAAGCTCTTACTAGGTATACAGGCAGGTGTGTTGAGGCAAGTTGGAGCTAAACTCTGCTGGACTCTGGCCCTCCAGGATCAAGTTTGGTGACCCCTGCTGTACAGTTTAGATGTTTGAAAACCGCCAGACTGACCCCAAACCAGCCCAAAACCAATTATTACCCACAGAATCTAATTCAAAACCACCCAATCTGGCAACACTGTCCGCGCTCATTATAACTTCCCGTCAGAGTTTTCCTTTGAACAGGATTTACTTTATTTTTCCAAATAAATCTGAGCAAAGTGAATAGATTGGACATTATCTGTTGTCGTATAGAAACAGAGATATTACACAGGCCGTGCTGTCAGCTTCAGTCAGAGAAGTGTGTGTGTTTTCATCAGTTTGCTAAAGCTGTTTGGAGCCTCATTGTTTCACATCAGTTCCACTGAGAGAAGGTTTCTCTGACTCAGTTTCACTTCCCTGGAGCCTTCAAACACAGGGTTTTTGGTTGTTGCTTATATATCTATATATAAATCAAGTTCTAAAACAGTCATTATGAAAATGAAGCTGCAGTTTTCATGACAGGACTGAAAAAAATTAAAATAAACAAAAATGACTAAATTTCACATTTTGATCAGATTGTCAGAGCAGTCAGAACACAGAGATGTGAAACGGAGTCATTTCTTGAAGGGCACCAGAATTGCTCAAATAAACAATCACCTGTTTCCAGAACACCTCACCTGTGGTCAAACAAACAGATGTGTGGAGTCAGTTTTGACGTCAGGCTGCTCACACAAACACAGCTATGTTTACAAGTCTCACTCTATACTCACTCATTTGTTCACATAACTTGGTCATAAGTGACCACATTAAGTAGCAGTTAACTACTGATAGCGTGCATTAATACACTGCATGCTAACTGCTAAGTCTGCTCCAGGCTTTCTCAACTCTGACTCCTGAGGTCCACTTTCTTGCAATTTAGCTTCAACCTGGATCAAACTGACCTGAAGAGCTTGATGAGCTTGTTCAGCTGTGTGTGATTAGGGTCGGAGCTGAACTCTGCAGGAAAGTGGATCTGGAGGGCCAGAGCTGAGAACCTCATGTTCTTTATGCATCTGTCCTCAGGTCGAGCTTCATTCTTCACCGTAATGTAACCCAGTGAAACTGAAACACTTCTGTATTAAACACTATCAAGTCTTCCCTTTTTCTCATCATGCTCAAAAACACAAAAACATTATACTTAATTTCAAGTTCAGTTTTACTCTACCCATTAAGTCCCATGCAAAGCATGCTGGGAACTGAAGTTTATTACGTCAACATCAAAAATAATTTTTAAGTGATTGGTTCACATTCACCCTTCATCGTTTAATCTAATAGTCAAGTTTTGGAAGAGAAACACAAATTTGAGTAAATTGGACAGTCTGTGCTTTACCAGTTTTTCTTTACACACAAGCCAAAATGTTACTTCATGTAGGTCATTATAATAATTTTTGGTTTAACTTGGCCATAAACAAAAGCTAAATATCAAAGTAGTTTTTGCTTAAAACTAAAAACATTTGTTAGTCATGCTTAATTTAGATTAGGAATATTTTCTTTAAAAACCACAATGGTATTGTGATGTCTTTTTAAAATATGCATCAAATGAAATTGGTGTGATCTCATTGAATAAAGATTAATTTTACTCATCATTATAGAGCACTTAGCTCTGTTAATCTGGGAATTGAGACAGAATGACACACTTTAGCTTTGAAGGGGTAACGCATTACAAGTAACCAGAGTTACGTAATCAGATTACTATTTTCAAGTAACTAGTAAAATAATGCATGGCTTTTTAATTTACAAGAAAATAGCTGTGAAAATAACCAATGTCTTTGCTGCTGACCTTCGATGATCCAATTCATCCATACTAATGAGCAAAAATGGCTTTAGATAAACATAACATTTGTGTTTCATTTTTTGTATTGATGAAGAGAGCTGAACTTCATGCGATCCAGAACAGCAGCATGGCTGAAGCTTTGTTTGAGCTGCGTCCTCTAGACGTGAATTTATATTTATAGGCTTATCCATTTAACTTTTGGTTTTTTACATTTGCCAAAAATAGAACTATATCAAGAACAAACAAGCAAGAAAAAGTAGAATGCAAAAGTAACAATGCATTACTTTCCATAAAAAGTAACTAAGTAATGCAATTAGTTTCTTTTTTAGGGAGTAACAAAATATTGTAATGCATTACTTTTAAAAGTAACTTTCCCCAACACTCATATTAGAAAGCACCACAAGAAAAGCTGCTTTAGAGTCATAAATTTAAGATTTATTATAACAAAACCAGGAACTGTTTGTGTGGTTGGTTTCAGTATAATTCCTTACAGATATACTGTTTTGCATCACAGGACTTTACACAGTCATGCTGGTGTGAGGAGCGGATGACTGTGTGTGTGTGTGTTTGTGTGTCTGTGTGTGTGTGTGTGTG